GAAGACCACTTCAAGAATATAGTTTTCAGAAAAGCCGGATAGTTTTTGACGTACAGATAATGAGTAAATTCTCATTCGGATTCTATTGGCATAGTCGTAAGTATCACTAGACACATTTCATGTTTCAATCTTTATTAAATATGTTTTGGGTCATGAACTGGGCATATTTATAATATATGTACAGTTCTTTTTCATTTCATAAATAAATCGCCCAAAAGTGTCGTTCATACTTAAAAAAAATATTCATTTAAGGAATTCATATATGTTTATAAGTTAAACATGTTATTTTTATCGATCCATGGAACTTGGTTACTTGTTATAAATAGTACTATATAACTTATGTTTTATATTTGTATTCATTTTTCGCAGCGTGAAAGCCGTCTGGTATTCTGTATACTTTATATCATTTAAAAAAACAACACGATTGTCCAAGACATTTGTTAAATAGCAGATAAATCAGCAATTTTCTATAGTATTTTACACACCTTTTACTTAAAATAAGCATGTCAAGTCGAGTTTGTATTTACAATAATGTTTAAATACACAACCATAAAGGTCGCGAAATTTTTTTGATTTTCCTACTTACTGTATAAAGGTATAAGAGATTCCGAGAAAAGCCGGGATCGTATAAGATCTCATTACCTCTCCAATAATTTACCATCGATGAATGCGTATCGGCTTGTACGACAAGATAAATCAACGCCTAAACTGTGCATATTGAAATATATAGTAGTATTGTAGATGGAAAAAAATTAGTGATGTTATTTTCCCCATCTTTTCCATAGTGGCTTCATACCTAAATTGGCGGATTTACGGAACCGGAAGTGACATTATTTCGAAAATATTAGAATAATTGTGAAAATCTAAATCAATCCATCCGATCATGTCTGCCGAAGAGAAAAACTCGGTAAAATATTAAATCCTTGATTCCATTGCCTGATATTGTGTTGGCATTTTCTTTCCGTTTGGTATATACATCTGATAAAACATTCACAATAAACCGGTGAAAATGTACAATTTTTAAATGCCGCTTATCTTCCAAAATATTGTTTCGATTGCGTAATTTCCATGTAAATAGGTACTTATTCTCCAGTCACAAAAATCACCTTGAAACTACTTAGTACATGGAAAACTTTTGTAGCCCAATTGGTACTTGATTCGCCAATAATCGTTCTTTTTCTTGGAAATTATGGGGTGCTAGGCTTCCAATGTTCAGCTTCTCATTATAGGTGTCGATACAGCATGTCAGATTTAGAAAAAACAGAACGTTTCTGATGTTTCACCTGGGAGAAGAGGGCATATTTGACATAAACTTATTTATTTCCGAACTCTACTAAACAGAACCGTGGCCGTGGGAGCACTTTAGAATTTAGTCCTAATTATAAGACCTATACGTAACCTTTTTCATATTTATCATTCATTGATCTGATATTTTACATTTTTCATTTTCCATGTTACGTTAGGTCTTAACAGATCTTTGCAAAATCGTGTAGCAAAAAAATTGACATTAGACATCGATTTAGATCTAATGCATTTTTAACAATTAAACAGCGTGGTATTTTACATAAATTTTGAACTATTTATGAACAAAACTAAAAAATTAAATACCTTCAACAAAATAATTGAACTGTCACACCCGAAAAGTCGATGATTTAATCCTCTCATTTAATTAATTCCATGTAAAGCAGATATACAAATGGCCGCCATAAAGTGCGCGAAATCTGATTGGCTAATTCAAATGCAAGCGTTTAAATGACTCCAGAAGGTTTAACGGAATATTTTTTAACGAAATAATTGCCCATGCACCGTCAGTGTGTTCGAAAATATTTTTCCGTTCTAAAAAAAATGGAATCAATCTGTTAAAACGCTTTACTTAACCAGTATGGCTGGATGAGCGAAATAGATTGAATATTTATATTTTATTTTTAATTAATAAGTACATTGTTTGAAACTTTTTGTTAATGATAGACCATGCAATTGAAAGAACAGAAGATAAGCTTTTGAATAAAGCTTGAAAGGCAAGTCAACAGACATTTTTTTAATTTTTCAAAATGCTACGCGTTTTTGACCAATAACTATTAGACGTCAGGCTTGACCAAAATAAAACTATAACAAGCCTGTAACGTCTAATCTATTGGACTATTTAGAATTGGTCCCCAGCAAAATCCATGTACAAAAATCCTAACGCTCTAACACTAACCCTAGTAGTAATCCAAGTGGGTTTAAGAGAGATGTTATTCAGTCACTAACAGAAACAAATTTTAGCTTGTATCGATATTTGAAGGTGTGTATCATATTTTATCGGATGTAGTTCTGGCTTCCAAAACTTTATAAGCCGCTATTTAACATTTTTGTTTTTCATCTGATGCGGCATTAAAGTTTTGGATTAGACCAGTTACCAAACCTAACTTAAATAACATCCGTTGATGTAACCTTATTTTTCATTTGAAAATACCCTTGTCCCAATTAATTCTAGTGCATTTTGCGATAAAACAATTATTTTAATATCCAGGTTGTTCACAAGCCAGGAAATCCTGAGGGTCATTTTGACTAAATTTTACCGACAATAATGCAAATCCCCATGATTTTAACAAAATTTGACCCTCCAGTTAAAATCCTGAGGGTCAAATCAGGCCTTTTGGAAATTAGAAGGGTTAAAGAGTCATTTCAAGGTTCAAACGGGTACCCTGATATCGTTCTATACCAATTAAAGTATCAAAATATTAATACCGTCATTAAAATTGCCTATTTAATTGTAAAACATCAATTACGCCGACTGCAGTCGGCCATGACATTTAGGTGCCATGAGAGACCTTGTATGACGTCATTCACGGGAACCGATCAGTAGTGTTGGGTATCGGACTCGAAAATCACTATCGATAATCGGACCACCACAATCGATTGTCTGCCGATAGTATAATTGAGGTTCGCATTTATTATGGCCTTTTTTTTCTTAAGGTACCAATCCTTGTATGTATTTTTTTCTGCAGTAGTGACCACATTTTGAGAATAAATAAACTCTTGTCTCCAAGATTAAAGTAAGATGTACCTTTTGAATCCAAAACAAAAAACACAAATACCTAATACAACTTCGTGACAGGCAATTTTTGTATTATACAACTTTATCGATTTTTAAAAAGGACTATCGATTGTCGCCGATTTTGGGGTGGTCCGATAAGTTATCGATTTTCAGAGACAATCGGGACAACACTACCGATCTGGGGTGAGTAACCCGAAGCTTTCGTTAAAATCACGCTAACGAAAGCGTTAGCGATCGCGTAACGAACACGTTAGTGATTTTACCGATTGTTTTTGTTGCATAACCAGAAAGCATCGTTATGTTATCGCTAATCAGTCGTTAGTAAAATTCATTAACGAAATCGTTGTGTAATCGTTAAGGGTATACACAGCATTTTGGCACCACCTGTTATTAGCTTTTCCTGCATAGATTACATTGCACGTACAAATAATTGTTTTTAAACTGTTTATAATTTGTTTAAAAAATTTTTGTGCAAATGTGCAGCCATATATATCTGTGAACACAGCTGCTTGAAAGAAACAATTGAAAGACACTCTGTATGAATCTGTTTGTTTGTTTGTTTGTTGTTCTTTGTGTGTGTGTGTGTGCGTGTGTGTGTGTGTGTGTGTGTGTGTGTGTGTCTGTATGTATGTATGTATGTATGTATGTATGTATGTATGTATGTATGTATGTATGTATGTATGTATGTATGTATGTATGTATGTATGTATGTATGTATGTATGTATGTATGTATGTATGTATGTATATGTATGTATGTATGCCATACGTTCGCCGTAAAACGAATCTAAAGAAAGCAATTCTAAGTCTTCGGATATACAATACAGAACAGAACATTATTTTATTTTGACATGTACATAGTACATAATCATACTAAATGTGATGATACATTGATAGAAATGCATCAACAATACAATTTCAATACTAATTTTCAATGATTTTTAAAATAAACTTTGAAGATAATGTCACGTTACATTTTAATGGCGTTATATATAGTACGAGCTTCAGTAATTATACTAGAACGTTATTTCAAATCAACCAAAATTGATATTATAGTGTTGAGGATAAACTGCTTTAAACGTAATTAAATATACATGTTTATATAACAGATATATCATCAGAAAAATTCTACAAGTTACATAAAAATGTTAAATGGAATTTGTATGTTCATTAATAAAGACATATATATTCATTAATCAAATTTATCAATACAATACAATACAATACAAAACAATACAATAACTTTTATTTGCTTTAAACATTAAACAACGTTTCTAGCAAAAACTATAGACAAGAAATACTGTTACATGAACATAATTACAACTGAACATTTTGGATTTGTAACAAAAAAACAAAAGGAGAGACTAGATATAAGTTCATTGCCTCCTCTTTAAGATGTAGAATATTTCGGTATGTGTGTGATGAAATAGAGTATTACACTATCTAAGAGTTAATGTTAAAGTGCAAAGTAAATAAAAATCAATAAAATTTGGATACTTTTTTGAGATAAATATACAGTGAATTATCTCCTCGATGAAATGCTATATATATACATATATCTTGATTTGATATTTCTTTGTGATGAAAAATTAATAAAGATTTATAAACAATTTAAGAGAAAATATTAATCATCTTTCCTTTTAAAGGCAAAGTGTACATTTTTTAATAAATGTGAATCATTTTTTAAGAATAAGGTAATAAAATAGTTTCAAACTTTATGATTGTTGGCCAATGGCAATAATATCTTTGCTAATATCTTAATCGATGCTTTTAAAAATATTGACGCTAAAAAAGCAAAGTGATTTTTGTTTTGATTTAAATGATGCAAATGAAGAAATGAACTGCTTTTTCTGTAAAACTTTCTTTACATAACCTTTGTTACACACTGGTGAAAATATTTAATAAACCTTCGTATGTTGCTAGCTTGTTTTGAGATAAATAAGAAAGAATACTATTACATAAGATAACTAAGGCGATTAACAGGTCACTTTGTATTCTCTATGTCAGTTGATGAAATTAATCAACCTCCTTAGAAGCATTCAAACATATAAGTGTCCAAAGTCTATCAGTTATCTAAATACTCTAGCAGCATGGCGGCCATTGTCTGCGGAATGAAAAAACAACATCACTTGTATAAAGATATTTGGAATTATTCTTAAAATCATTTACGAAAGAAATGCTCACTTAAGTTTAATGAGTACGGTTACGTTTTATTTTGAAAATGAATGCAGTCATATTAATAATAATAATAATATTAATAATAATAAAATAATAATAATAATAATAATAAAATAATAATATAATTATAATAGTAATATGATAATAATAATGATAAAATAATGATAAATAAATAAATAAATAATAACTTTACATATTAAGACATTTACAGATTGTAACATCATATCAAGGACTTATTATCAAGAAAATAGGAAGAAAATACGTGATATAAATAATACATACTCATAAAAAGTTTGTTGAAAGAGCTTCAGACGTTGTTTTTCCTTCAACGAAGGTCTAACGTGTACTCCGAGGTAGTCGTTATTTTACGACAGTTTCGTTAGTATTTTTGGTATAACGAACGTTTCGGGTTAGAGGGTAAATTACTAACTAGAGCTTAACCAAGGCCTAACGATGATCGTAACTCTAACGAATGCTTCTGGTTACTCACCCCAGAATAGAGTCGTGTACTATATTAATTTAGAACATCTTTGTTGACATGCTTTCGATTTTTTTATTCAAGATAATGTTTTTATTTATTTTCATTAATTTTTTAGTACTTAAATATGATTTTATTGAATACAAAAGTCAGTAAATCACCTTTTTTAATATCTTTAAAAAAAGTAATAAATTTATAAAAATATTTGAAGCACATGGGTTTGTAAAGGTCAATCTTGTAATCACGTGGTCAAACATTTTGGCAATATGGCGGCCAAGTGCCGAAATTTTTACCTGTCGGAAACTATTAGGTAGTTTTTGTTCCTAATAAGATTTTTATTTGTCCATGTCTTATCAACAGGTTATATAAAGTTTTATCAAGGTTTGCTTCAATACTTCATGACATGTTCAATGAATGAATACGAGCGTGTCAGATTCCTGGCACGATTATTGGTGGAATTTCCCTATGGGGTAATCTTCAGTGTTCACGTCATGTCATAGTATATAAACGGGTATGCTGAAGACCTGAAGCTATGTCGGATGCTGAATATCGATGATTTATCGATATTGCGATATTCAATGACAGCCCTAACTAATATACAAGAAAGGAAATTCAAGTAAACTTATACGATATGATTAATCATTATTATAAATACAATTTGTTAAATATTAAAAATATTTTTTAAAAAATACATGCGTATTATAATGTTGGGATATTTATGACAGTGTTTCCATTTGAAAGCCCATGCTTGGTATTAGCAAATGAATCTGTGTGTTTCAGGAAGAGGTAGAGTCACCTGAAATACATTTTGAACCAATTGTTCAGCTACCTGCTGTGGAGTTACCCACACTAGAAGAAGAGGAGGAGGAAATTATACACATGTATGTTAATTACATTCTTCTGATGTTTTTACTTGTATTCATTGAACTTAAAAATAGTGACTGCAGGGCCGGCAAAATCAATTGTCCGTATTGCCCAGGTTGTCCCATAGCCTGTACTGACAAGTGAAAATTTTCAAGAATTAACTATGGTAATATCATACGGACAAGTCAGTCAAAATCAGATTTTGCCGTCCCTGTCAGACTGTTTTTTGTGATTATACTGCAGCACTGCTGCTCACAACATTTCAAGTGGGATGTCCATGGCCAAGTGGTTAAGGTTGTTGCTGCAAACCACTTGCCTCTCACAGCTGTGGGTTCGAATACCGACACTGACTTTGGATTATTTGATGTAAGGAAGCTATCCAGCTAGCTTACAGCATGTCAGTGGTTCTACTCAGATGCTGTTCGTGCCTGATATAATGCATGGGAGGCCACTAGCTGGTACATCGCTATATGGCCAATACTGTCGTTGTGACATTAAACCCGATCAAACAAACTTTAAGTACAAGATTGTTATCAAGCATCATGAACTGATTCACAGGTATTTTTGTTTGAAAGTAGAGTTTAATTGTGAGGATATGTTATAGAAATAGTATGAACCTGATTCAAGTTTTAGTATTAAGCTATAACACTATCAAAAAGACTTAAATAATACTACACCTACAAATGAGTCAACTATCTAACCAGACTACATAATAATTATTATTGTAGTGCTGTTTTTTCTGCACACAAAAAAGTGAAAAATAATGCAGGACTTCAGGGTTTACTTTTCTCATTCCAGAATGATAGCAATCACTGACTGCTGATAGATGGGTAATTTATTTAACAAAATTTGGTTACATTAAAGTACCATGCAGCACAAATTTTGCTGTTTCTTCCATAGATAAAAGGATTAAATAGATAAAAGGCATGAAGTCACATAAGAAATTGAATGAAATCTGTATTTGAATTTTCATTCAGGAGAGCAAAGCTGTTTAGATTTGACCAATCAGATGAACCAGCTCAATGGAAGGAAAGGGGTACAGGGACAGTGAAGTTGTTACGTCACAAGAAATCCAATCTTGTAAGAGTATTAATGAGAAGAGACCAGACTCTGAAACTATGTGCCAATCATTATGGTAAACTTCTAATATACCTTTGATCAAATCATTAACTAAAGAGTAAATTAATATTTTTACCTAATAGTCATATATAATAATTGACAAAACAGTGGAGTGTTGGGGCACCAGTGTCATATGATCATCTGTCATTTCTAGTTATGTAAATGGAAGCTCTGTGAGGTAAAAAAATAATAAACTAACCCGCTGTTACAAGACTCGTGTTAAGGACCAAGGTTTGAAACTGGTATATATAAAGGAGATTCTGACAAAGAACAGTTCTCTTGTGATTGAATTTTAGGCCAGATGAAGTTTTCTGTATACCCCACCCACATATTTGTAAAGAATATCGTTTTCTTATAAATAAATGAACATTGTTTGAAATAACAAATTTTTTCTTCAAATCAGTTAAAAAACTTTGTAATGTATCATTCATCAGTTTTGTGTTTGTGTTTTTTAGCTCACTTGTCACAAAGTGACAGGGTGAGCTTTTGTGATCGCTTTTCGTCCGGCGTCCGTCCGTCCGTAAACTTTTGCTTTAAATGACATCTCCTCATAAACCACTGAGCCAATTTCATCCAAACTTCACAGGAATGTTCCTTTGGTGGTCACTTTTAAAAATTGTTCAAAGAATTTAATTCCATGCAGAACTCTGGTTGCCATGGCAACCGAAAGAAAAATCTTTAAATATCTTCTTTTAAACAACCCTAAGAGCTAGAGCTTAGATATTTGACATGAAACATCTTCTAGTGAGTGTCTACCAAGTTTGTTCAAATAAAAGCCCTGGGGTCAAAATTGGCCCCTCCCCAGGGGGTCATAGATTTTCCCTATATGCATATAGTAAAAACTTAAAAAATCTTCTTTTAAAGAACCCAAAGAGCTAGAGCTAAGATATTTGGCATTAAACATCTTCTAGTGAGTGTCTACTGAGTTTGTTCAAATAAAAGCCCTGGGGTCAGAATTGGCCCTGCCCCAGGGGGTCATTGATTTTCCCTATATGCATATAGTAAAAACATAAAAAAATCTTCTTTTAAAGAACCCAAAGAGCTAGAGCTAAGATATATGGCATTAAACATCTTCTAGTGAGTGTCTACCAAGTTTGTTCAAATAAAAGCCCTGGGGTCAAAATTGGCCCTGCCCCAGGGGGTCATTGATTTTCCCTATATGCATATAGTAAAAACTTAAAAAAATCTTCTTTTAAAGAACCCAAAGAGCTAGAGCTAAGATATTTAGCATGAAACATGTTCTAATGGGTGTCTACCAAATTTGTTCAAATAAAAGCCCTGGGGTCAAAATTGGCCCTGCCCCGGGGGTCATTGATTTTCCTTATATGTGTATGGCAAAAAACTTAAAAATCTTCTTTTTGAAAAAACCCATATAGCTAGAGTTTAGATATTAAGCATGAAACATCTTCTAATCAGTGTCTACAAAGTTTTGTTCAAATAAAAGCCCCGGGGTCAAAATTGGCCCTGCCCGGGGGTCATTGTTTTCCTTTTTTGTGTATAGCAAAAACTTTAAAAATCTTCTTTGAAAAAACCCATATAGCTAGAGTTTAGATATTAAGCATGAAACATCTTTTAGTGAATTTCTACAAAGTTTGTTCAAATAAAAAGCCCGGGGGTCAAAACTGGCCCTGCCCCAGGGGTGTCATTGTTTTTAACTATATGTGTATAGTTAAAACTTAAAAAATCTTCTTTTAAAAAACCCAATGAGCTAGAACTTAGATGTTTAGCATGAAACATCTTCTTATGGGTGTCTACCAAGTCTGTTCAAATAAACAAATAAAAGCCCTTTGGAAAAATTTGGCCCGGGGGGGGGGGGCTATATACAGGTGAGCGACCTCAGGGCCATCATGGCCCTCTTGTTTTAAAGGATGGCAAGGACTGGCTATATGTCATAAATACTTCAATCTGTAATCTTTACATGAAAAATTAATTTTCTTTCGAAATGTTATGTATCATTTATACAACAGTAAATGTTTGTCTTTCATTTAAAAACAGTTTTCTGTGTGTTGAATTTTTAACTTAGTAATATAGGTTTATTTTCCATTTTACAGTACAGCCAGAAATGGAGTTAAAGCCTAACTGTGGAAGTGACCGGGCTTGGGTATGGACAACGACAGCTGATTTCTCAGATGGTGAAGCCAGCTCTGAACTTTTAGCAATTAGATTTGCTAATGCAGAAAGTATGTTTGTTTGTTTGATTTTACGCCTTTTCCCAACAGTATTTCATTCATATAGGTGGGTAGTTTCCTAACCATCGTTCCTGGAGAGTTACACCAGTACTAGACTACCTTCCTCCGCGCTAAACTACCAAAGCATCTCCAGGGAATCGAACCCACGCCAGAGAGGTAACTAGATTAGAAGTCATTGACTCTAACCCCTCGACCACGGAGTCGGTAGGAGAAAGTATGTAGTACAGTATATGACTGTTTAAGTTACTATTCAAGTTCATTGCCTTCCTGATATATTTAATTTAGTTTATTTGTGGTTGAGCGGTTAAGTTTGTGCCACTGTAAGTTAACCACTTGTCCTTAATTGCTGTGGGTTCAGATCCTGAATACAATGTTTAGTAAAATGAAGTAGAAATCTGTGTACTTCTGACATCTGGTTATAACAAAAGCTTTGAAAACTGTAAACTAACCGGTGAAACTCTATCTGATTCTCGATATGAACTTCCTCACAAATCCATGAATATATCCAGTAGCTAATGTATGGTCAGTAGTTTTAAACAGGCACTTGCTAATGCCTGAAGAAATGCAGAGGTCTACAAATGAAAGCTGGAAAGTCCTCATATGACTTACAATTTTCTGTAAAGATCTGTTATGTCTATTGACCTTTGAAGTCTTTGATGGTTTACCAATGATTTAAGATTGGTGTAAGAAAGAACAACATAAATCTTAAAGCGGCACGCCTCCAGATTCATGCTAATTTTCATGAAAATTTTGAAAATATGTTTCAAAGTTTTATTCAGTGAAATAACCAAAAGGAAGCAATTTACACAATATCTATGGCACTTACAACCCACGTAAATTACTAAAAAGAGGACAAAATATGCAAAAATAGCCCTTACTGCGTTAGTAACGCAGTAGAAATATAGTTATAAATACTGCAAAATTGGTCATTAATCGCACATAACATGTAAATTATTACAAGAACGTTGAATCTTTACACTTTTCCTAAAATCGTAGTACATTTTTCTCAGGTTTAGTTTTATTGAAATATTTTCGTTCATCTGGAGGCGTGCAGCTTTAAACACCATGATCATAATCAAGGTTGTATTAAAATTCTATATTTGTTTTCAAAATTGTCAAAAATATTTTATTGATATAACTTGCATGCTTGTAGCAAAGCATAAATGTTTCTTACTTGAAACTAGCACAATTTGTACATATATATTGTTGTTGGAATTTCAGATGCTCAGAAGTGGAAGGAAAAGTTTACTGAAGCTCAGCAGATAATGAGGAAGGCTATACCAAGTCATAATGATTCCATTAGTAAGATTTCTGTCCATATTTAGTTTAATGATTATATTTATATAATAGGAAAAGCTATCCTATTCACCTGGGAATTAGCGTCATTATTTTGGTAAGTAATTTGTGTGATCATAATTATTTCCTTTACCTTTAAAGGTGCTTTTTGGAAACTTTAAATACCATCTCCACTTTAATACTCTTGTCAATGATTTTGACAAAGTTCACCCCCTCCCCCCTTCGACTAGATCTAGATAAAGTTTTTTCATACAACCCCACTTATTTCCTTTCCTATACCCTTTAACATATTGCTTTGAAAATTTGTATACTTTAATATGACCATTATACCCACTTTGACGCAAGAGGACATAACTCTGTCAAGGACTTAACAAAATTATACTCATTTCTTGATGTAGAATTTCTGTATAGTTTTTAGCTCACCTGAGCATGCTCAGGGTGAGCTTTTATGATCGATGATTGTCCGTCGTCTGTCCGTCGTCCGTTCACATTTAGTTGTTAACACTCTAGCGGTCACATTTTTGTCTCAATCATCATCAAACTTGGTCAGGATGCTTATCTAGTTGATAGCTCGGATGAGTTCGAACATGGGTCATCTCGGATGAGAAACTAGGTCACAAGAGCTAAAAATAGAAAAACCTTGTTAACACTCTAGAGGTCACATTTTTGCCTCAATCATCATCAAACTTGGTCAGGATGTTTGTCTAGGTGATAGCTCGGATGAGTTCTAACATGGGTCATCTCGGATGAAAAAGTAGGTCACCGGAGCTAAAAATAGAAAAACCTTGTTAACACTCTAGCGGTCACATTTTTGCATCAATCATCATCAAACTTGGTCAGGATGTTTGTCTAGGTGATAGCTCGGATGAGTTCGAACATGGGTCATCTCGGATGAAAAAGTAGGTCACCGGAGCTAAAAATAGAAAAACCTTGTTAACACTCTAGCGGTCACATTTTTGCATCAATCATCATCAAACTTGGTCAGGATGCTTATCTAGTTGATAGCTGAGATGAGTTCGAACATGGGTCATCTCGGATGAGAAACTAGGTCACAAGAGCTAAAAATAGAAAAACCTTGTTAACACTCTAGCGGTCACATTTTTGCATCAATCATCATCAAACTTGGTCAGGATGTTTGTCTAGGTGATAGCTCGGATGAGTTCTAACATGGGTCATCTCGGATGAAAAAGTAGGTCACCGGAGCTAAAAATAGAAAAACCTTGTTAACACTCTAGCGGTCACATTTTTGCATCAATCATCATCAAACTTGGTCAGGATGTTTGTCTAGGTGATAGCTCGGATGAGTTCGAACATGGGTCATCTCGGATGAAAAAGTAGGTCACCGGAGCTAAAAATAGAAAAACCTTGTTAACACTCTAGCGGTCACATTTTTGCATCAATCATCATCAAACTTGGTCAGGATGCTTATCTAGTTGATAGCTGAGATGAGTTCGAACATGGGTCATCTCGGATGAAAAAGTAGGTCACCGGAGCTAAAAATAGAAAAACCTTGTTTACACTCTAGTGGTCACAATTTTGACTCAGTTGACATCAAACTTGGTCAGGAAACTTGTCTTTTAGGTCATTGCTGGGAATAAATCGAACATGGGTCATCTCGGATGAAAAACTAGGTCACAGGAGCTAAAAATAGAAAAAATCTTGTTAACCCTCTTAACTGTTGTGATCCAAATATTCTGTTCATTCTAACATTCTAGTGGTCACATTTTCAACTCAATTATCATCAAACTTGGTCAGGATGCTTGTCTAGGTAATTGCTTGGAGGAGTTCGAAATCACATGTGAAACTAGGTCATCGGAGCTAAAAAAAGAAAAATCTTGTTAACACTGTAGTTGCTACTGTTTTGATCCAAGTATCCTGGAAATTGGTTTGAAAGTTTGTTTTGATGATTTCTAGGTCAAGTTTGAATATGTGTCACCTGGGTAAAAAACTAGGTCGCACTGCTCAAATATGGATAATCCTTGTTAACACTGTAGTGGTCACATTTTTGACTCACCTGTCATGAGACTTGGTCAGAATGCTTGTCTAGGTAATTGTTTGGATGAGTTTGGTAAGTCAGGTGAGCGATCTAGGGCCATCATGGCCCTCTTGTTTTGTATCACCCAACTTTTTTCCTTAATCCTTTGAGATGTTGAAAATGTGTATACTTGTTAGTGACCATCGTTCCCATCTCCAGGCAAGAGGGTATTGTCATGGTATTTTTAATATTTTACAAAATTATGGCCCTTTTGTGACTCAGAATTTTGGTTAAGTTTTTGGTACCACTCCACTTACTTCCTACACTCTATGGAGTATTGCTTTGAAACTTTGTATACTTTAAGTGACCTCCATCCCAACTTCCAGACAAGAGAACATAACATTGTCAAGGTTTATAAGAAATTTATGCCTCTTTTCAACTTAAAATTTTGGTTAAGTTTGTCATACCACCTTATGTATACCCTATACTCTTATATTTCTTTGAAAATTTGTGTTCTTTTTAATAGCCATCATCCTTAACTTCCAGGCAAGTACTTATAAAGATTGAGTGCATTGTCTTTCGAACAACTATTGTTAATATCCTTTGCACAGCAAGCTTGTTGCAGGTGGCTTAGGACTAGGGAGTCAAGAGCCTTGTGGCCTTCCATCTCTAAAGCTTCAAAAGAAAGCTATTACTTTGATTCAAGATTTAATATATAATTGAAGTCTAGTCACAGAGCAGTAAACTGTCCATTAATATTTTTAATTTTATCTTTTAGAAGTACTGTTCAGCCTCAAATTAACATAAAGAGTTTAATGGTGTCAGTGTGCAGGGCTCTTGTTTACAGTTTGATAAAATTTAGGGCCGAATATTGGCCCTTTTCCCTCATTATGGGGGATGCCATGGACACACCTGCAGATATCTATAAGTTCCTTTTAAATTCTGTTGAGATCCTGGGGTCGTTGATGATAATTAGTATTTAGGCCAAAATAAAAAATATGTCTGGTTCAGGGAACCCGACCGACCCTATTTTTTTACCGCCGACCCTAAACTTTTTTTTTTATTTTCGGTACGAAAATTTTTGGGTACGAAAATTACAAATGTGAAAATTTTGTTTAACGATGCCTGTTGAAATAGCCGATGAGTAACAATCTTAAAATAATAAAAAAATATTTAATCTTTGATGATCAAAACCAACAACAAGTAGAATTGTGAATGTTTCTGCAGGAAACAGACAAATTTTCAATTGTCACATATTTTCGCGATGCCGCTTTTTATAATTAAAAAAATCGTAGCCAAAAGGAAGATATGTTTTGTTAAAATGTGTGTTACTACTTAAATAACACTTAAAATATAGTTTAAGAATTAAATTAACTATTAATAGTTGAGATGGAGCCATTACCAGTATGTGTTTGTAACAATAATGAATATTTTTTTTTTTAAGGGAGGGGGGTGTAAGGTCTGATGATGTATGGTTTTTAAATTATATTTCAAATCTTTTCAATCACTTTTATGGTACATTTTTTTCCATTTGGGACATATTACCATTTTCCTGAATAAGCCTTTTCTCTGTTCAAACTCTGACTCCCCAACCCCTTACTCTGCTATACATGTATCATACATGTATTTGTCAACTGCATATAAGTGCAGAAAAGATGGCTTAACATATTCAATGTGATCTGGAACTCCTACTTTTTTTGTGCTTGGGAGTCTCAAGACTCCTTCTCTGTGAGAACCCTGCAACTGTTGGTACCAGTTGCACATAATTATATATCTATAGACTTTCGCCCCCTGAAGACCATTTGAATATGTTTAATATTAAAATTATATATACAGTAGCTGTGTTATTTTGGTCCCCGGAATAGTGCATGTCAGATGCTCTAAGCTTATAATACAGCATTATTATTAACTTGTTACAGAGGTGACCCTTGATCTTTTAATTGTCAGACCTGTCAGATGCAGGTTAGCATAGTATAGCGGGTGATTCAAAGGGAAAGGGTACATAATAAGCAGAATAGAAAGCAAATCAGTATGAATACAGGTGCTACATGGTAAAATGACTACATACAAGAGATAACCAACACAATATCATATGTTGATGGTTTATTACAAAATGGTGTATGCATTGATTGATTACAATCTTTGTTTAAGTATGTTAAGCAAGCAACACATCTATATATGGAAATTAAGACATTCTCCCAACCATAAAAAAAAAAAAAAAAAAAAAAAAAAATCCCTACCCTCCTGATTTTTTGGACCAATGTTTCCTGAACCAGACATATTTTTTTTTTTGGCCTTACCATAAACAGCTCATTTAATCTGAGCCCACAGCATTTTTAATTTGGCTGTGTTTCCTGTTAGATAGAAACACTACAAAAATGAAAATGCTGTACAATATAAATTTTCTCTTTTAGGTAAAGAAGCAAACACTAGTGTAGATAATGGTAAAGAAAACACCGAGGAAACAAAAGCATCAGGGGACAAGGAGGAGAATAAATCTGATGAAACAGACAAATCGGACAAGGAGACTGATTCTGTGGCTGACAAATTAACTAACTTAACTGTGAAAGAAAATGGTGATAAGGCAAAAGACAATGAAGAGAAAACAATAGAGAATAAGACAGAAAATGAAGAAAAGAGTTAAAGAAAAACTAGGATATGTAATTTAGGTGAAAATGTTGTTTCGTCACTCTGAGACACATACAAGAGGTTGTTCAGGAAATGTTATCTGGTCTATTTATAAACAAAATACAGCTTTTTTGTATTGAAGCTGTATTGATACATATTTAGATGTCAAATGAAATGCCTGCATTGTGCATTACATGACAGTCTGTTTAACACAGTAGGGGGTATGTTTCTTGGTTTCTTTTTGCATGACAAGGACTGTATTATTAGAAAAGTTAAATGTTTTCTGTCTTGAAAAGGACAACTTTATGCACTTGAAGAAAGCAATGAGAGCATTGAGCAATTAATTGTTCATTACTGAATAGTTATAGGAAAATTAAGCTATGATTAATCATTAAGATTAACCTGATGAAGTGTGTAATAGATCTTTCCTACTTTGAATATCAGAACATTTCATTCAAATTTCATGGATTCCTATATCAAAATACAAAAATTGAGCTACCAACAGAATTCTGGTCAGACTGCACATATATTCAGACTAGCCTGGTTCTATACTGGTGACAAAGGCTTGTAACTTTCAGTCCAGCATGATAAAGCTTTGACATCAGTGCTGTATGTCTTAAAATGGCATGATGCTCATTATTTTGCTTTTCAAGGTAAATGGAATTAGTAGTATATTTCAAAAGATTGGCTATTATAATCAAGGTCGGCAAAATCTGATTCTTGTGCGATTTATTGAAGCATTTTTTTGGCCAAATGGCATATGGAATTCTTCAAGTAGATTTTTGAAAAAAATTACTTGTCGGTACAGGCAGTAGGACAACCTGTGCAATACCAATAATAAATATTAATTTTACCACCCCTGATTATGACTGACCAATAATAGATAATGGCACAATATACTTTATAATGAAAAATGTTTATGGCACAATATAAAAACTTAACTAAATTATAAAAAGACTCCCTCGTTAACAATATATTCTGAATGATGTTTGTAGAAATTTCGGTTAGTCATGTGAATTAATTGATAAGTAAATTGTAAATTTGACCATAATAATGGCAAAATGTCAAGTTGTTTTGATTTTTATTTATTCACTGACCATTAAATTTTATACTTGGAAGGGCATAATGCCGTAGAGATTTTTACTTGAGGTAAATACTGGTTAAGTCAGTTTTTAATGTTATGTTTCTTAAAATGGCCAGTTCTCTCCATTATAACATCAGCAAAATTTATAATAGAAAAGTCAGTAGTATAAGACAATATATGCCGACTTTATAAACAAAGTCTGTTTTAACATTAAAGTTCTGACAAGATATATTGTTGAATTTTGTATGATAGTTTTCATTATTTAAAGTAGTAATTAATTAAAAGTTGTTATTAAAGATGTTTGAAATATTTTATCCCACAAATTTAGTAATTACATGATTTAACCCAATTTACCAGAATGTTTAGAAAATCTGTGGAAATAAAAACACAGTTTCATTTGATTTTTGATGTTGTTATTCAGCTGAATGATACAGACTTTATATTAGCACCAACAGTTTTTGACAAATTGAGAAATTTTAAAATAATTTGAAATATTAAACAAGTTTGCAATGAATCCCTTATGTAATGAATGCATGCAATGTAATTGGGGATATGTGAAATACTTTGAGAAGGAAATGCAGGGTTATTTCCTGGCCTTTGATATTAAAGTTAAAATACAATGTTTAATGTCATACATATGGTAACAAAAAGTTTGGTAAGTTGGTGCAGATGTATATTTGATATGTATTGTAATATGAACAAAATGTAATGACCATTTGTTAAAAACTTGATTTTTTTACATCCGGTTTGTTCAGAGGAAATATATTGTTTAGGTATTGGTGTACTTAATATTGTCTTTACTCGTGTCACACCTTATGACCATTACCTTACTTGATTGAAGACTAGAGAACTGAATGCTGTAAAGAAATATTTGTTCGGGTTCCCTTTTAAAACTGTGAAATTACTTAAACATGCTTATCTGGACTTTGTTATAAATCCCCCTGCCCCTGAGTGTCAATAAATTATTGAATGTAATTGAACATTGAGCTTTTAGGTGAATAGTTGACATGAAAATATAGCTCAAAATAAAAGATCATACTATATTCAAGTACAATATCTTTTCAATAAGGTATTTTTGTGGCAGAGTGGTTAACTTATCAGATTAGTAATCTAAGGAATGCTGGCCGCCTGACTTCAAACCCTGACAGGGGCAAGCTGTCGTTTCCATTAGCAAGAAACTTTAAACAAATAGCTAAGAATGTATTCGCTTTCAACATAATCAATTACAGTTAATTAAAAATTTGGTTTTTTATTCCCCATAAATATACTCGTACTAGGAGACCTGATATTTTTGGAAACAATTTTTATTCCTCAAAAACAAACATTTAAGTTGTAAAGGTTTGTACTGATACTCAATTAAATACTCGCACCATTTTGAGATGAACTTCAGATGAGCTATGATATATATGAAATTTGTATGACAAGTTTACAAGGAACAGTTTTGTTATGTTATACTACTACTTTCTATCAATTTGGAATGCCTATTAATCTGTAACCTGGAAATGGTTTACATTTTGGTTGGTTTTTTGTTATGATTATAAGATTAATGTAAGAAGATAGAATTAAATACCAGTAACATGACATAATTTCACAGTGTTTTGCATGATAAGAGTTGATTCTTGATTAGTTATTTATGTTGCAATAGGAAAAAAGTTTCTCTGTGGATGACTCAAAGGTGAAAATTGCTCATTTTATTTTGTTATATCATATGTGCATATTGTTCTATTCATCAAACAGACATTTCGATGTAACTGAAGATTGGTGGATCTGATAAATATCTGTTGTTATAATACTTCATTTGATTGAAATTATGTGATTATAGCATATTAAAAGAAATAACATTAAATGGTTGCATTTCATTGTTATAATTGATTGAAGAGTCGATATATTCATTGAAAGTTTACTGAAAGTTATTGTTCATGGACTTGAAGCATTGAATATGCTGATACATTCTTGATTACCCATTGTATTTGTTGATCCCATTTAACTGAATGTATAAACAAAATAGAAATTTATCAATAATAAAATACTATAAACCTGAAATGTGTGTTTTTGTTTTGTGAATATGTGCATGTTGCTATTTTAAACCAGGTTTTCCGAAGGAAAAAACTGGTTATTAGATTGAGGTATGTCGGCGGGCGGGCGTAAACAATTTCTTCTGTGCGCAACCTCTTCTACATTTCTCAACGGATTTTGACCAAACTTTCACAGAAGCTTTGTCATCAAGTGCCCTGGGGCATATTGTTGGGGTTTTGCGATTGGATAATTTTTGACCTAATTATGGCCCTTTGTTTTTTTTCCTTACATAGAATATATAGTGAACAATTTCTTCTGTGCCCAACTCCTCCTACATTTCTCAACGGATTTTGACCAAACTTTCACAGAAGCTTTGTCATCAAGTGCCCTGGGGCATATTGTTGGGGTTTTGCGATTGGATAATATTTGACCTAATTACGGCCCTTTGTTTTTTTTCCTTATACAGAATATATATTGAACAATTTCTATCGTGCGCAACTTCTCCTACTTTTCTCAAAGGAGTTTGACCAAACTTTCACAGAAGCTTTGTCATCAAGTGCCCTGGCGCATATTGTCAGGGTTTTGTGATTGGATAATATTTGACCTAATTATGGCCCTTTGTTTTTTTTCATTATACAGAATTATTAATGTAATTATAGTGAACAAATTCTTTTGTGCTAAACTGTCCTACATTTCTCAACGGATTTTGTTCAAACTTTCACAGAAGCTTTGTCATCAAGCACCCTGGCACATAATGTCGGGGTTTGTGATTGGATAATTTTTGACCTAATTATGGCCCTTTGTTTTTTTCCTTATACATAATATATAGTGAACACTTCTTCAGTGGCAATTCCTCCTACATTATTCATGTTTTACATTGCACATAGTTACATTGTTTGTTGCTTGTATTTGTATTTCAAATACAACATATTTATCTACAATGGTGATAATTGAAAACCTGGTTTCATGGCATTGCCATGTTTCTTGTAATTAAATATTAGTCATTTTGGTAGATCAGCTTATTTGGTAGGATAAATGTTAAAAGGTCAATTTACAGAAAAGCCCGTCTGAAACGGCCCTCACTGATTGGAAAGGCCATCTTTGTATCTAAACTTTGATTGAAATATTTTTCACTTACACCTTATTAGCTCGACTTTTTTTTTGAAAAACAACAACAACAGTTTGTGTTATTTATAGAATTGCGTGTCACTATTTATAGAATTGCGTGTCTCTATAGAATTGCGTGTCTCTATTTATAGAATTGCGTGTCTATAGAATTGCGTGTTTTTATTCATATATAATATATATACAAAAATAGATAAGCAAAACTAATGTGACAAGACAGACCAACTAAATTTATAAAAAGGAAACGTTAAGATATGTTCAAACCTTTCTATGTTTGCTTTTAGAAAAAGTAAAAAGTCGAGCGTTGCCCCCGCCCGGCGGTGGCTCTTGTTTGAGGCTAAAATACCCCGGTACATTACATCTGTATTTACAGAATATTCTCTGTATAATTTAAATGCGATTAAAACATGTCTAAACAAAATTTGCAACTATTTTTAGAACCCTAGCGAACTTCCAGGAAGTTTTGTTCTAGTTAAGTAAAAACCTTATTAACCAGGTTGTAATGCTAAAGTCGTCATGCAGGCGTCAGCTTTTGGATTCTGCTTTAGCCTATTGACGCCAAACTTTGTGTTTCGGTAGCTTATATCAAAAGGCAGCTTGGGATTGCTACCACTGTTGCTAAAATTAGAAATTAAGTGTCCGCTTAATAACTTCAGTTTGCTTTGACCTATTGACACCAAACTTCGTATGTGGGTAGCTTATATCAAGACACTACTCGGGGGAATTACTACCATGGTGACTATGATTAAGGTCACTGTTGCTAAAAATACAAATTAAGTATCAACATCTATGAAATCACTGAGTTTTCTTAAACATAAATTAAGAGCTACTGACATGAAATTAAGTACGCGGGTAGCTTATAACAAGATGCAACTTTGGACTGCTCAGCATGTGTGTAGCTTACATGAAAAAAGAAAAAAAAACAGCCTGGCATTGCTGCTCGGGTATATTTTTATTTTGAACTTTGGAAATCGACCTTTTTATGTTGGTACAAATACTGCATCATTTTTTCTTCACTCCCATATTTCATTCTTATTCCTGTCACATCAATACCTGGTCGTTGAAAACCTGATTTTCGTCGCA